TTCCTTTTCAAAGCCAAAAAGGTAAAACAGTTTTCAAAGAAAACCTTATCATTTAAGCTGTTTCCGAAAACAGCCAAAATCTCTTAAGCCTAATTAATTAACAGAATACTGTTCTGCATTAAGTTATGTGCAACTATGGCAGTATTGTTTCACCAGAATTTCAAGTAATGAATGATAAACAGTTAATTTCAAGTTTAATTGGTGTTTTAATTGCAGAGAGTCTCTATAAGTTAGATTTTTTTTTAAATTGAAACACTATACTAAAAACGTTTACACTTACTATTCCTTTATGTTCACTATTCTATAGGTTATTTAGTGTCTAAAACACACGATTACAACAGGGTGGTCAACAGGGGTTTGAACCCAGAACAAACAATATTATACTTTGAAGTGGAAAAAGAAGAAATTCTTGTCATAGATCAGTATAAGGCAACAATAATAATAATAAACATTTAGAAAAAGTATGCCAATATAAATACATATTCTATTCCCGTCACCTAAGTTTAATAACTCATTTGGTAGCTGGTACACTATTTCAGTAAAATTAGTTAAGATTTTGTATTTATCATTTTTATGGCTCTCTATTTAAAAAAAAAAACGTCGTTTATTGAAAGAAAACAGTTTTATTGATGTTAGTCTATCATATTAATAATACGGTTGTTGTTAAGCGAAAAACTGCAAGGTGAGCTATCTGTGCTATAAGTCCATCGCAGGAATCAAACCCTGAATTTTGACATTATAAGCCATTCAACTTATTGCTGAGCCACTTTTATAATATTGTTACATCGAACATTCATAGTATGTAATAAATACTCATATTTTTTTTTGTTTTTCATGACTGATCAGCCTAACTATGGAAAATGCGACATCGGTCCACTTACACTCATAAGGTTTCTGGACACTTTCAACATCGCATCACTGACACAGTATAGTAGTTCTGATGGCTCTAGCAACATCATAACATGAACATTTCACATCTATACTTTTTCACACCACATCCCGGCTTTATTGTCGATATACTGGTACTTTCTGAGGGTTACATGAATAACACTGTGATTTCACGTATGTTTATTTATTTCAGTTTCTCCGTTAGTAACACCGTGATTAGGTAAGTAAAGTTAACTGATTACTCTACTGTCAGACAAATCTATCAGCCTAATAGTTGTGAATTGGAATTTACAGACTTAGCCTTGCATGTTAAGTATAATCTTATTAAACAGATCATTCGAGAATGACAAAATAATATTACAATTGCCAAAGAAACTTGTAGACTTAAAAGATCATAGTAAGTAATAGTTTAAAGATATTGTTATGCGACAAATCAAGTTGTTTTTTTTAGAGGCAGTATGAAAAGGAAGTTACTTGAAAAGAGCACGTCTGAGCTCTGGGTCTTTGAAACGAAGGATGATTCCTTTCGAAGCCATATTTAACATAAACAACAATAAATTATTTCCCACAATAAAATGGCTGCACCTGAAGATAAACTGGAAACCGCTTAACAAGTACTTCGTTTGTGCGTCATTTTCAGTCACTGTTCTAATTTTCCTCTTCATGATATTTGATAAGAAATTTGTGAAAAACAGATTAAGCCGAGAGACATAGATCCTATAAAAAAAAAATGAACAAATGGAGTGGCAGTTCTGAGTAGAAATCTAGAGTTTATGAATGAAATTGTACTTCTGTAATAGTATGTGGTTAGCTCAAGGAAATCTAGGCCAGTGGGGGCAGCGCATAAGTACGCCTAACTGTCTCTGCCCGGCAGCACAGTGAGTTCACCAACCCCAGACCTAGACCTTGCAAACTGATCGCCACAAGAAACTAGGCTGCCCCGTTTAGAGCTACCTTTGGTGGCCCACATGGAGCCCTGAAGGTTGGCACTTACGTTTTCGAGGCCACACTATTTAACCAGCGTGTCGTGGGTGCCGCTGACACACAATTTCCTGAAACTCATCTACGACAGTTGAAAAAAAAAATTCTCCGTAAGAAAGAAACTCACGTCAGGTATGGTGCACAGAACGTTTAGTCCATTCTTTGATCGTATTTTTTGGTTCATTGAGGTATCAAAAATACTGTTAATGAAATGAGATTATCAATACGATATCTTTTTTTTTCTCTCTTAAATGATGTGTTATAAACAAAATTGTTTTTCGCTGGTACAACAATGCATGACTATAATTATAGGTTTGAGTTTACGTTAAAACCAACACACCTTGTTCTCTTAGCTAAAATATAATGTTGTTTTTTGTAATTACTATCACAAGCTTTACTCGTGGGTTTATTAAGAATTTTCTGTATTCTTGATGACCAAGCTTAACTTTTAAATTATGTGAAATATCTACCTCCCTGTTAAAATAAAATAGTTTATATTTGTTAACTGTTATCAAGCCTTTCTCCTAGACTACCTAAATGGGTTTTTGTTGTTGTTGTTTTTTGTAAATAACTTGATTTAAATGTAAATAAAAATAGGAGTGCCCAACTAAGATATCGAATATCCCCGTTATACATGTTATCATAATGTTTATCTAGAATTGCTCTTTTTTAACTGCTCAAATTTTCAGCGTATCGGCTTCGCTATGAGACAAGAATCCTTCCCACCAACGCTGACAGGTTGATTTGTTTGATTATTTCTAAATGTAAAACTGCACAGTGAGATATGCTAACAGCGTGGATCGAGCCCTAATGTTTAGTGTTTTAAATCATTAATCTTACCACTGGTCTAGCTGGGGCCTATCATGACGAAACATTGAAGAAATAAAATAAAAAGTTTTTTCTTGAAATAAATTTAATATTTGGTCCTTACAATATTTAATGACTCTTGTTAACTTACAAGAATTAATGTAATTAGCCATTTTGTATTTACTTCCGAACAAACGACCTATTAAATCGAATGTTTTATAAATTTGAAATCCTTTCTTAAGAAAAAAAAAAGACCTACTGATTAAATCTTCCTTCTTGTATTCAACCTTAATGTATTAAATCTATGAAATAGATTTTCACACAAATATCAATATATATATATATATATATATATATAGT